GTGTGTGTGTCACTGTGTGTGTCACTGTGTGTATCACTCTGTGTTTGTGTCATTGCATCTCTATGTGTGTGTGTCACTGTGTGTGTGTGTGTGTGTGTCATCCTGAAATAGCCGAGGTCACAAGGCTATTGACAAAGCTGTGTCTGAATAAGAGAAGAGGCCCCTCTCCTGTCTGCACCATCCCCATGCAGAGGTCTGCTCTGGGCCCTCTGGGCTGTGTTTCCCCTTTATTGTCTCTATTCTCCCTTCTTTCCTCTTCTCCCCCAGTCCCCTCCCTCCTAAGACAAGATGTCGACCCACTTTTTAAAAGGCCTCCTATTCCTGACCCTAAAGGGACTAATATTATCTTACACCTGGCTAGTGGTCTAGCCTCATCTCAGCAATGACAGTCTAACTCTCCTAGGGGCCTATCCTCCTTGCTAGCTTGGTCCACTCCGCTTGGCCCCACCCCCCCACACCTCACATCCTCACAGCTGACACTCTGCTGTTTTCCTGATTAAGTGTACTGGTCCAGTCCCAGAGGTGAAGCATAAGTGAGCATTGAAGGCTCGGGAGCCACCCGAGGGGAACCTGCTCTCACGGACACTGAGGACGACATGAGCTGCCTCACCCAGGGCTGACCTGCAAATGCTAGAGGGAACCCCAAAACCAAGAGCATTGAAGCTCCTCGGGGGCGCCCCAGCTCCCCTGCCTAAGCTCACACTCTTGGCTGATTTGATGAACTGTCTAAGAGTAACTAATGGAGAGGCATATTTCAGTCTCAGTTTTAATAACAGAATAGGCTCAAGGACAAAACTTAAACCTAGTTTAGAAAACAAATTGACAATGTCAAGTTGTTAGCACCAAGTGCTCCATTCAAACTGTTTCAGATTTGACTGTCAAGGATAAGGTAGAAGTGGAGAAAACCCAAATGACTCCCCAATCCCGTGTGTGTGTGTGTGTGTGTGTGTGTGTGTGTGTGTGTGTGTGTGTGTGTACATGTACGGAGGTCAGAGGTCAACCTCAGATCTTCCCCATTGCTCTCCATCTTATCTTCAGAGGCAGGGTCTCTCACTGAACCTGGAGCTCAGGGATGGCGAGGCTCTCGGCAGGGAAGCTCCCAGGGGTCTTTCTGCCTCTGCCTCCCAGCACTGGGACTACAAATGCTAGCAGCCCGGCTGGGCTGTTAAGGAACTCAGCTCCTTGTATTTGTGCTTGCCAGGCAAGCCAGCTCCCCACCCAACTCACAAGTGGCTGTTTTTTAGGATGCACAGTCAACATTTACCAAGTACGTGCATATTGTCACATGCCACGTTGAGGGCTTACCACGCTTAACTCGTGCAGTCCTCGCGAGAGCAGAACCACTGTCAACAAGGTCCTAAGTCTCTAATGACTGAGAACCCTGCCCCCCCCCCCACCCCCTGACATTGCTGGAAGAGGCAGGTGTCACCTCACAGTTCATCCACAGGGTTGTACACTTAACCAGCACGCCACCTGTCTCCCCTCACTGGCCAGTCCCCAGTTCTCGCCTGGCACGCCTTCCTCCACAGTTTGGCCCTGAATACACTTCGGGATAAGTTCCTCCGCTGTGATAAGCAGGGCCCGATCTCTGACAGCTGTTCCCCGCTCTTCATCATCATCTGAAACAATCAGGAAGCATTAGAGAGTACTTTTCCCTTTACAAAGGTGATAATTAGATAACAAGCTGAGATTAAAGTAATTACAGTCAGGCAGCTGGCAAGGCAGGACAGTCATGTTGAAATATTGTTGGTACTTCAGCATCTGGTTCTAATAACGGCATAGGCTAAAGGATTTTACATTAATTACAAAACATAATTTAATATAAACACATTTAATTACAATTGATGAGCGATAAACTGTTCAAGAATGACTTAACCCCTTCCGTGTGTCAAAGAGATGGGAACGCGGGCGAACTGCGGCCTGTGCCGCCATCTTCTCTCTCTTCCAGGCATGCCCTCCACAACTCCCTGACCCCCTCTCTTGCAGGAAGCCTCCTCACTGAAGGAATGGTTCAGGCAAGGATGTTGCTGATAAGCCCACGAGTGTCCTCATCCGAATGTGCAGTGCTCGCCGTCCTTGGAGTGCCCGCCGAGAAGGCTGGACTGCCGCCAGCCTTAGCCTCGCCTTGTTCTGCCCTTGCCTCTCACTGTCTTGCCCTGAAATGAAGCCCTTTCATCCTTTTCTCTTGGCTCCCCTTTCATGTGGTGCTGTGGTCCTCCTGACAGTGTATGTGCATCCTATGAGAGTCCTGCATTCCCTTAGGAAATGGTGCTTGTGTGTGCAGGCACAGGTTTGAGTGCTGGGAATCTGAACTCAGTCCTCATGATTGTTCAGCAAGCACTTTGCTGACTGAATTGTCTCCCAATTCCCCCCCCCCCCTACTAAGCATTTAAAGGTAAATCCATCTTCTTTACTAATGCAGGAGCAGAAACATCCCTAGGTCCAACAGTCAGGGTACTGGCATGGCCAGAAAGTCAATGTTTAAGAATATCCAAGGTTCTACCTGAGACAAGACATTATTCTGGCAGAAATTCTCCCTTACAAGTTACTGATCTGAATCCTGGCCTCCAGAACTAGCTGAGACTACCTTTGGGCGCCTGTTGTAACAAATTGGGATCACACAGAGGCAACCCTCCACTAGAAAAGGACTCAACCCTCATTAACGGCACTAGGTCCTTCCAGATGCCCCTCTGCAAATGGAAGACATTGAAAGACCACAGAAACTAAACATTGCTAAGTCACAATCACACTGCGGTGACCCAAGCATCAGCCCAAGAAAGGCCCAAGACTGACTCTTCCTAAGAAAGAGTGTGTGGCCTTGAGCAAGTTGGAAAATTGCCACCAAATTTCTCTATTCGACAAACGGCAGGAAATTACAAATGACCTCAAATAATGTCTTTACCATTTGCTGTGGACTTTAAAGTGTAATACACACTATCTATGCTAGAAAAAAGACAGTTTGCCGGGGGTGGGAAGATGGCACAGCTAAGTACTTGCCAGGGACCCAAGTTCAGATCCCCAGCACCCACGTAAAACAGCCAGGCATGGTGGTACACACTGGTAATCCCAGCACCGGGGAAGCTGAGACAGGAGGATCCCCGGGGCTAGCTGGCTGAACGGTTTAGAGAACCACTGATGAGTTCTAGGATCAGTGAGAGGCCATTTCAGAAGACACCCAACATGATGGTCCTATGACCTCCACGTGTACACACACACACACACACACACACACACACACACACACACACACACAAAACAGACAGAGAGAGAGAGAGAGCCGGGGGCGGGGGGTGGGGGGACTCTAAATGAAAGTTATCCTGTACACCCTCTTGCAAAGAGAAGAAACCCAAGTTTCCTATCATGGAACTCTGCAATCTGAATAGGAGCCCTAAGACAGATTGAGCTCCTTTGTAAGTGAGGAAAGAGGTGGGACAGGAAGTAGCCAGCACAGCATTTGCTTCTAAAATTTCTCACTAGGTCATTCAATTTAAAACTTTTATAAATCAAAAGAGAAAAAATAAAAAGAAAACTCAGTGTAAAAGAAAAGATTACAAATCACACACAAACACACACACACACACAATGGAGAATATATTAATATTAATATATACTATATATAAAAAGAACTGTTACAACCCCCCAAACAAACAAAACAAAAACCAACAACAACAACAACAACAAAAAAAACAACTAAAGGAACCAAAAGATATGAACAGACATTTTCCCAAGGAAGATATGCCCAAGCTCAGTGGGGCAATGCTTGGTACCAATAATCACCAGAAACTAGGCCCCAAATGGAAATGTGACAGCAGTTTACATACAATAGGGTGGATGCTATTTAAAAAAATGGTAATAACAATCATCGGTGATGATGTGGAGAAACAGGAACCTTCATGCCCTGCTCACATAAAGTCAACACAAACACATTTGATGTTCCTCAAATCATCCCACAAAGAGTTACCATACCACCTAGAAATTCCACTTAAGTATGTACCAAGCGAACTGAAAATACTTCACCAAAAAGAATCCACATGAAATGTTTATAGCAGTATTGTTTGTAATAGCCCCCAATGTAAAATCCTAAATATCTGTCACTTGATGAGTGAATGAACAAAATGTGGCACATCACACGTCATAGTCTTCAGGAATGGCTCTCTCAGAGGAGAGGCTATAAACAGATGATCCCGGCAAACACCATGCCAAAATCACTAGCACAATGCCACTCATATGCAAAGTCCAAAAGAGGCAAATCCAGAGAGACAGGACACAGATTAATGGCTGCCAGAAGGTGAAGCTGCTAAAAGGTATGGGGTTTCTTTGGGGGAAGTGATGGAAATATTCTGTAATTTGATGTGCTGGTTACACATTGTAAAAATGCTAAAACTCACTGAACCGTTTACACTTTAAAATGATTGAAATGGAAACCTAGAGAGATGGCATGACAGTTAAGAGAACATACTACTCTTGCAGAAGACCTGACTTGGATCCCCAGCCCTTTAAATCCAGCTCCAGGGGATCTGACGCCCTCTACTGGCCTCCACTGTCACTGCACTCACATGCTCATACCCACACACATACATATACATTAATTAAAAATAAAAACCTCTGAATGGCTGAAATACTGAGTTTGTTGTTGTGTAAATTTACCTCCATTTTAAAAAAGGCTACCAACTTATATGGCTGGAGTTCAATCTTACTGGAGAACCCTGAGAGCCTCTACAAACTGTGTATCTCCAAGTTACCTCAGTGAAAAGGGGAGGAAGTTGGGGGTGCTCAGACACCAGTCCCACCATCCCATAGCTGAAGGCTGCTCTCAGGAAGGGTAAGAACTTCTGGTCTGCCTATAAAAGTAGTTATGTGAGCCAAAGAAAGATATGAAGCTGGTGCTGTGTCCCCACATACCTCCAAGGGACACAGGCCAGGAGGCTCAGGCTGTACACTGACATTTTTGCAACCATCTCTCATGGTGAGAGTAAATGAGAAACTGAGTAAGGTGTAACACAGTGCCAGGCACAGAGAAAATGGGAGTTATTTGTATGGAAGACTCAATAAGGTTAAACAAGTTTTTTCAAAATTGTATAGCTCACTGCAAGACAAAGATAGAATTCATGCAGCTTTTTCTGTAGGACACAGTCTCTCCAATTAAATAAACCAAAAATCTACTAACCACTCTTGCAAGCATGCTGATCAGATGTCAATCAAGTTATCAAGGCATCCAGAGAATATAATAAACAACTTTACATCTCTCCTCCCCCCTACCATGCTTCGTCTGTGGGGGAGGCAGCTGCTTCTCCCGCAAAAAGGCCTTGAGGGTTGATGTTCATATCTGCTCAGGTTGCCCAGCATCTGAACATCATGTGCTTTGTTATGTAGGTGTTTATTTGAGCTTCAAATAAACACATTTGCTGACAAGTTAGACCAAAGGACCAAGATATGTGAACACCTGAGACCCCGGGAGAGGCAGAGCAACACATTCCTCACCCACATGTCCAGCCTTCTGTTCTCCTTTGAAGAGGCCAGTATCCGGGCATCTCCACCAAAGAGGTGTACAGCAAAGAAATGCTCTACTCCAAAACCCAAGCAAGGGCATACAGCAAGAGCAAAGTGAGCCTCATGCCTACCTGATCAGGTAGTGGTTGATGATAGTGTCGAAGTAGCTGTAGTACACAGCATTGTTCACGTGGCCATACTGGTCATTGTCCTGCCACCTGGTCTGGATGGGCAAGAAGTACCCATAGGCCTCCAGCTGCCGATGGTGAGCCTCAGCTCTCTGGCTGGTTGATGACGTAGATAAGGAATGGGTGACATTTCTAGGAAGTAGCCTCCACGCCCAAGGAATCATAGTGATTGCTGCTTCAGAATTCCTTCAAGGAAAAAAGCAACCATGAATACGAATGTCTGTGAGAAATCTCAGCTTAGTTTTAAGCAGTTGCATATAATTTTGAACACTGGTTTCAGAAGGATACTAGACTTCTTTCTTAGGAAATGAATGTTCCATGATAATCCGAATTCTTATCATAAACTCTAATTACTTTCTTAAAGGACTCTTAGGGCCGATAGGATGGCTCAGTGGGTAGAGGTGCTTAATGCCAAGGCTAGCAAGCAGAGTTTGATCCCCTGAAGCCCCATGGTAGAAAGAGAGCACGAAAATGGATTTCTCCCAAAGTTGTACTCTGGCATCCACACATGCAGTATGGCACACACACAAATAAATGAAAAAATTTTTTAAGATAAAGGGCTCTTTACTGAAAGTGTTTTGTCACATCATGCAGAAACAGGCAAAGCCTTTATGTGAATTTTAAAAGAAGGGGTTTTTAATCGTGTTTATATTAAATTCTTTTGTTCTACAAGGTATTTTCAATAACACAAAAATCTAGTGAAATCTATAAAGTACTCAAGAGTATGAAAACACAGCTCAGGTCATCCATATAAAATAAAATGTTCACCATTGTCAAGAGAGTCTGACGACTAAGTTTTAAAAAGAAAAGCATAATAAATTTTTAAAGAAATTATATCTTACAGAAAAACATTCAATGCACTTTTTTCAAAAGGAAAAAAATGCAACAATACCCATTATTAACAAACATTTCCGTGAGTGCTATTTCAGTCTTGGAGATCTGAGTGTACATTTTGAAGTGGGACCCCACCGTATGTGTTGTTTGGAGCTCTTTCCTGAACAATAGGCCACTAATGTGTTTACATATTCATCTGCCTCTGTAGTAGCATTAAATTCCATTATATCTCATTGCATTGATGCACCAGAATTTATCACGTCCCACATTGATGCATATTTAGTGTTTTGATTCCAGTTTGGGTCATGAGATGGAAATCTTTCTAAATAAATCTTTATATGTATTCACCATTATTTCCTTAGGATAAATTCCTACAAGCAAAATTGCTGGGCCAAAGGACAAATGAATTGTTAAGGATTTTGATATAAATTAATACCCTCTGGAAAGACGGTACCAATTTGTCCCCTCCCTAGCAATGCATGAGCAAGCCAATTTCCCTGTCAATTGTAAAATGCTTTGTCAATTTGACTGTGTTCTCTCATTTCCATATAAATTTAATGAAATGTGCTAAGTGGAAAGATGACTGCTACTGCTAGCAATGATGGAATAACCCAGATCGGAATAACCTTCTGTGGATGTGAGAAGATGTCACAGAACAGCTGCTGGCAGCGATTAGGAAAACGATCAAGGTAGGCTTTACAGACCACAGCCTAGGGGCAGGGTAACACATCCCAGGGAGACACTCATTAGCCACTGATGAGTCTATCGGGATCTAACAAAAACCGAAGACATAACAGCAAGCTAGAAACGTGTGGAGTTCCTGAGCTTGTTTGTTCATTCCGAGAGACAGAACCCTGAACCTTAACCGTACTCTGCAAACACTCCACCACTGAGCCCTGGCCCAGATTTATTTGTCACGTTCTTGCTATGCTAGAAGAAACAAACATGGAAGAGCCAGAGACATCCAGAAGGAGGTCAAGCTTCAGAGAGAGGAGACTGAGCCCCGCTTCTATTAAGGCATGAGCTCACTGAGTGAGACGGAGAAAAAGCCCAGCGGGAAGCCCAGTGGTCACGAGACTGAAGCTTTCAGAAGAAACTAAGTCTACAGGGCTGATGGTGCAAACATCAGCTCTCAAGGTTTCCGAGGAGGAGGACAAAAGCCAGTGGGTACAAAGACACGGTATTCAGACGGCATGAGGAACTTTTACAACCTCCACAATAAAAAGATTTTTAAAAACTCAATTGAAAAGCCCACAAGGGCTAGAATGTAGCTCAGTTGGAAGAGTGCCCAGCATATACAAAGCCCTGGGTTCCACGATCAGGATGACATAAAACCAGGCACGGTGGGCATCCTCTTACCAAGAGATCGAGGCAGGAGGATCAGAAGTTCAAAGTCATCCTCAGCTACATGTTGAATTGACTAAACTATGGAACATTCACACAATGAACAGTACATATCTATAAATTGACCCAAAGATGTACGGAATATCAAAAACTTAAAAAGACTAACTGCCAAGAAACCAAATAATCCAATTAATAAACAGGACAATGAGATGAACAGATAATTCTCAAAAGGCAAAATACAAATGGCCAATAAACACATGAAAAAAATTATTCAACATCCTTAGGCATTAGTGAATTGTAAATTAAAGCCACACCCAGATTCTCTCTCTCTCTCTCTCTCTCTCTCTCTCTCTCTCTCTCTCTCTCTCTCTCTCTCTCTCTCCAGTCAGAACGGCTACCATTAAGAAAGTAACAACAAATGTTGGGGACTATGTAGAGATAAGAGAATCCTATACAACACTGGGAAGAATGTGAATTAGTAATTAGTTCACACATTGTGGAAATAAATGTGGAGGGGGAATAAAACAGCTATACCACTCCTGAGAATCTGCCCAAAGAATTCTGATCAACAGACCATGGAGATACTTCACATCAGTGTTTATTACAGCCCTGTTCACAATAGACAAGCCGCAGAATCAGCCTGGATGTCTGTGAAAGGATGACTAGATAAAAAAATGTGTCATATTCAACCATAAAGAAGGATGCAATCACATCTATTGCAGGAAAATGAATGCAACTGGAGATTATCAAGCTAAGAGAAATAAGCCAAATTCAGAAAGACAAATACTGCATGTTTTCTCTTGGAATCACTCATTTTATGTAGCTATATAAAATATGCATATAGTACATGAAAATAAAAGTGAGACTGGGGAAATGAAAGGTAATAATGGGGGGAGAATGTCAAAGTATATGATATTCATGTATAAAAATGTCCCGATGAAAACCATCAGCATATACAAAGAAAAGACGCCAATGTGAGAAAGGTGTGGTATTGATGATTTCTAGAACCTATTTATTCCCAACTCTGAAAATGAATGTGTGAAAGAGCATCTATAAAACTCTCTCCTTTCATATTTAAAAGGAGCCACAGGGCAACAAGATGCAAACGCATTTCTTTACTTACTTATACTTACAAACAGAAACTCAGGGAGGCGCATTAACACAGTGGTGGCAGGGGAAAGGAGGCAATATACGTTTCTGCTGGCATTTGAGGATCATTTTGGTCTGGGGATGATGATGACATTAACAATAGAGGAGGATGTAAAAGCCAAAATGAAATATAGACAGAAACAAACGGACTCAATGATTTTTTCAAATAAAAAAAGTCACACAAAGCAAACACTTTTGACTAAACACTCTGTCTAGAGACAAAAAGATCAGCTAACAAACATTGAACATTAAAGTTTTTAATTTTTATAGCAACAGAGCTAATAATTCTGAATCAGCTGCTTATGAATCTAAACTTAAATGAGTAGAAGCAGTGAGAATAGTGTGAACCAGATTTCTCCCCTAGAAAGGACTTTAAAATACTGTACAGAGGAGGCTGGGGAAATGGCTTGGTGGCTAAGAGCATTCACTGCTCTTTAGAGGACTAAGTTCAGTTCCCAGCACCCACACTGGGCAGTCCACGACTGCCTGGGACTCCGGCTCCATGGGTTTGTCTGACATCGACTTCTGGCCTCCACAGACTCCTGTACATACCACGTGGCACATGTTCACATAAAACCACACACTGATACACAAATAAAAACAAATCCTTTTTAAAAAAAATAAGGACATAAAAATTACTGTGCAGAAAAAAGGAAGACTAAAATTAGCTTTGTAGCACTAGATTGAATCTGTGAGTATGGGGGTGGATTTTAAAGATAGTCTCATCAATCCTAGATGTACTGAGTACAGACACAGGGGCTGTCCAGCAGCACCTTGTGTCCAAATTTTAATTTCTAAGTACCATTATCCCCCACCCACTAAGAACCAGAGGCTTTGAAGAAGTGACAGATCCCAGCATTAGAGAAGAGAAAGTAAAAGATGATCACAGAATACTGTTAATGCCAAACCGTTCAGAAGTTCAAAGACTGCTGTGGGGGCCCCCAAGGGCTCAGTCTGGACCACACAAACATCAAGTACAAAGTAAAAGACCTTCAAAGCAATAACAAGAAGACTTATCCAATGAGAACAGAGGACAAGACACAAGAACGGCATCTTTCGAGGGTGTAGATGGTTGCAAAGGGAGCACCCTACCTACACCCAGGAAGACACTTCTCAAAAGGCAAACAAAGTAGTGACTTAAAAACAGCATCACCTTCCTTAGTGTACTGAAACTGGCCCCAGAATGTCTAAAACCGAACTCATCAGACACACAGGAGTAAATCTAACAGCACATGCGTGTCCTACTTTGCTCTTCTCTATTGGGCTGACGAAATACTGACCAGAAAATACTTGGGGAGCAGGGAGGCTTATTTAGCTTACTTCCAGGTCACAATCCATTACCGAGTGGAGTCACAGAAAGAAGGCCAAGTTTCTGTCAAGGAACGTACAAGGATCTAAACTTCAGAGGAGTGCTGCTTACTGGCTTTGTTCCCTCGGACTTACTCAGCTAGCTTTCTTACACATCCCAGAGCCCTTGTGTCAGGGTGGTATCACTCACAGTGGATTGGGCTCTCACGTCAATCATCATTCAAGATGATTCTCCATAAACATGCTCATAGGCCACTATAACCGGACTCAAACTTGTGGTGTGGATTAAAAAAAAAAATAACCTGTCATCCAAGATACATTTAAAATGAGAAAGTTCTGGGGCGGGAGAGATGGCTCAGTGGTTAAGAGCACCTGCTTCTTGCAGAAGACCAGAGTTTTGTTCTTGGCACCCACATTGAGTGGCTCACAACGTCCTGCAACTCCAGGTCTATGGGATCCAACACCAACTCTGATCTCAAGCACCTCTACCCATGTACACATACACATACATCCAAATAAAAATAAAACGACTTTTTCTTTTTGGTGGTGGT